AATTCAATTCTCTCCTGGAGAACGTCTTCGTGAGCCTCTCATGATTTTAGGATAGTTGAAACCCTCTTGAACATTCAGAAAGAGTGCATATGAAATTCTAATCACGAAAGGTGTTCCCCGACAGGATACATACCTAGAGTTTGTTTTGTGAAGCACGTCAATTCTCTCCTGGGGAACGTCTTCGTGAGCCTCTTATGGTTTCAGGATAGTTCAAATCCTATGATGCTCTGATTCAATGCTCACCGATGATCTGAGCCATGGGGCAAGTTTGTTTTCCTAAGAATCTATTTGAACATTTCGAGAGCATATGTTTGAACATTTAGAGTGCATATGAACATATATGTACGAAAGGTCGCCTCCGAGGGGATAAATCACCATGTCGAACCTTGCATTTTTGTTCCTGCCTCTCGCGTTCTCTTCTCTTCCCGCTGTCCTACTTTTCGTGTTTCCCTCCTCTCAAGTCAAACGAAGATAAGAGACAGATAACCAGTGTGCACAAAGAGAAATGACAAACAAAATTATAAGAAAACAACACAGTGTTCAAACATGTTCAAGCAGTGAATTGTTCAGCTGCTTTGGACGATGGCACCAAAAAAATCAAATTTGTATAACAATTTGTTAGCGGCGTCAGGCAAGGAAAATAAGGTGCAGATAGGACGAGCAAGTACTTGAATCCAATGTCATGGCTTTTGAAGGGTAAGGTCCAGCGTGGTCATTTCAGAAGAGAATTGAAGGCAGAAAATACGGTGGCCTCAGGGTTTGATAGATCCCCCCGGCATCGTCATGGGCATGAGTTCGTGTGGTCTCCATGACAAGCGTCCGCCACCTGACTCCTGGAAAGGTCGGGTGTGGTCGGGTGCGGTCGGCGGGGTCGCTGCATTCCGGTACGGTGACGAACTCCCTCATGGTGAACTCGAGGTGGCCAGGGAGATTGAGGTGACCAACGGATGCTGGAGAGCTGCCACCATTTTGAATTTGTGTGCCAAGGGGCTGGGGGAGGTGGAAAAAGGAGACTGGTGCTCTCGATGAGCACACCACTTTCTTCAGGTCGCGTCTCAGAGCGTCCAGGGGACGCTTTCAGAGTGTGTCAGAGCAATTCAACACCAGAGGCAGCAAATCAGTGACATGCAGAAGCAACTCAAAGGGGCGGCAGAAGCTCCAGCTGCAGCACTACCCCCAAATCGAGAGCATGAAGAAGCAACATCCGAGGAGGTAGAGGCAGGGCCATGCTGACCTGCTTGCAGGACTCGAGTCAAGACACTTGAGGCTGATAAGGCTGAGATGCAGAAGAGGACAATGTTTTGTATACAAGTGATGCAGGAGATGCTAATCTAAGGTCGTTGCATCACTTGCATCATCAATTTGGTTACTACTCACAGGCTTCTCTCTGGTGTTTCTTCCGGTTCTTGGAGTCGCTATCCACACACTCCGGTTCTTACTGTAGTGTTTTTCGTTCTGTTAAGATAGTATAGGAGAACTATGGATAACTCATGGGACAGCTTATTGCTTGGAAATCCAAAGCCGTTCCGTTTTCCTGGTCACTGCATCAAATGAAAGAAAAGTGTTGACTGTGTCACAGCCACGGATGTAGACCACAAACTCAAGGGAGCTGAGTTTTCTTTAACCACGTGGCTGGGTTGCTCTGTTCATGAGCTATGTCCAGAAGCAGAATACCACAACATTCAGTGTTGGATGACAACTGTTAGTTCCATGTTGAGCAAAGTCGGCCAACACTGAACTAACAGAACTGTCCAACATGGATCTATACTGGTGTTCGTTTTCATGGTTTGGGGAGTTGTAGCCTCAAGGTCGGTCTTCAGGTCGGCATAACTGCCGGGTACATACCCTCTGGTTCGGAGCATGGACCATGGAGCGACCACATGACTGAAGATGGGTTCAAAACATTGGGTTTGTAGAGGAACAGGGCTCTTCAGGTGTTGTGTGGTAAATTAGGTCTTTGTTGTGTTGGGCGTCTATTTGTTGGATCACTTGACTGATGAGATTTGCTATCCAAGAAGTCACCAGTTCAGTTGCTGTGGTCCCAACTTGCCTTTGATTTCTCTTGCACCAGAACTTGCAGAACTGAAGATCCAGAATGGTGCAGTGCTTTTTCGGCCAGCAATGCTCAAAATTTGATGAGTTGCCAAACCGAGTATGGTTTTGGGCATGTCCCCAACACTAGAGAATCGTAAACTGCATTTGGATTTGGCCCACGCTTCAGGGATCCTCCAAACAACTGGATGGAGTCCACTTGCTTGTTGCTGCGCCTACATGATGTCCACCCAAAGGTATGTTCCTAAATTCCAAACCATCCATGCGAGGGGTATTTTTATATAATATACAGATGTTACAGTGGCCAACTACATATCGACCAACATCCGACTCCAGTGATCAGGAGATTTGAACATGTACAGTTACAATTGTGCTATTATGTATTATTATATGCTTAAAAAACACATTATGACCAAATCTATAGATCCTGACGTTTATTTTCTTTTCTAGAATTCAATTTGCCTCTTCCTTGCGAGACGTGTGTGTGTGTGTGTGTGTAACCCTTGGAATCATAGGGGTCCTGTCGGATTTGCTTTGGTTTTTCCATAGCAGGGGGTAGCGGCAGATCATTTGGGACCGCTACTTGATCTGGTGATATCGGAGTTGGCCACTCCGACGTACCTGCGATTTTCCTTCTTTCTGAATGGCATGAGGCTAAGCCAAGAACCTCACTGACATGAATTTCTTGTTGCTGCAGACATGCACGGAACGCCGTCAGCTTGTCGTCTCGTCGGTTCGTGGCCTTTAACTACAGGAACTCTGGTCCCCTTCACCTGGTCTTTTCAGGATTTGGGTCTCTTAGGCTGGCGTGTGGCACCGCAATCAAGTCAGTACGCATATCCATGAGTGTGTTTGGCTTCGTGCCAACCCGGGATGAGCCAGCAGAGTGCCTCCCGTGGACCCGTCGAACGGGTGTACGTCTTTCTCTCCCTTGCTTTGGAGAGGTAGGTGTCCGGAGCGGACAGCAGGTGGCCTCGGCCGTGCGTACGATGATCTTTGTCTCATCTTTGGAATACCAAGTTGGCTCATGCCTTTACGTGACCGCAGCGGTCCAAGCAGCCAGCCGTTTCGGCAGGGCACAAGGTGACCACAGCGGTCAAAGCATTTTGAGGTTCATTGGAACCTGTCGCGAGCTTAGTCCCCCTCCTCCCCCTTCCCTTCCCCTTTCTTTCTTTGCTTTCTGGGGTTTTCCTGAATGGAATACTCAGGATCTCCCCTCTCTTTCTTTGGTGTGTCCCTGGACGATTGTTCGTAGCTGGGAACACCTTCCTTTCTCTCCTCTCCCTCTCTCTTTCTTTCCTTCTCTCTTTCCTCTCTTTTCCCTCTTCCTTGGGTGTCCCTGGATGCTCTC